GGGGGTAATGGGGGTGATAGGGGAATTGGGGTCAATGAGGACATTGGGGTCAATGGGGTCAATGGAGGCAATGGGGGCATTGGGGACATTGGGGGCAATGGGGACATTGGGGGCAATGGGGGCAATGGGGAGAATGGGGTCAATGGGGTCAATGGGGTCAGTGGGGACATTGGGGTCAATAGGGGCACTGGGGGTAATGGGGGCAATGGGGGCAATGGGCGGAATGGGGACATTGGGGTCAATGGGGGTAATGGGGCCGTTGGGGTCAGTGGGGTCAATGGAGTCAGTGGGGTCAATGGGGACATTGGGGTCAATGGGGACATTGGGGTCAATGGGGCATTGGGGGCAATGGGGGCAATGGGGCATTGGGGGCAATGGGGGCATTGAGTTTAATGTGGTCAATGAGGGGAATGGGGACATTGGGGGCAATGGGGACATTTGGGGTCAATGGGGTAATGTGGTCAATGAGGGGAATGGGGACATTGGGGGCAATGGGGACATTTGGGGTCAATGGGGTCAGTGGGGACATTGGGGTCAATGGGGGCTTTGGGGTCAGTGGGGGATTTGGGGTCAATGGGGGCTTTGGGGTCAGTGGGGTCAATAGCGTCTCTATGGGGCCAATGGGGTCTCTATGGGGTTTCTATGGGGTCTCTATGGGTTCTGTATGAGGTCTGTATGGGGTCTCTATAGGGTCTCTATGGGGTCTGTAGGGAGTCCGTATAGGGTCTGTATGGGGTCCATATGGGATTTCTATGGGGTCCATATGGGGTTTCTGTGGGGTCCATATGGGGTCTGTATGGGGTCTCTATGGGGTCAATATGGGGTCAGTATGGGGTCCGTCTGGGGTCGTTATGGAGTCTCTATGGGGTCTGTATGGGGTCTCTATGGGGTCCGTATAGAGGCTCTATAGGGTCCATATGGGGTCAGTATGGGGTCTCTATAGGGTCTGTATGGGGTCTGTAGGGGGTCCGTATGGGGTCAGTAAGGGGTCTCTATGGGGTCTGTATAGGGTCTCTTTGGGGTCTCTATGGAGTCTCTATGGGGTCTGTGTGGGATTTCTATGGGGTCTCTACGGGGTCTCTATGGGGTCTGTATGGGGTCTCTCTGGGGTCCATATGGGGTCTGTATGGGGTTTCTATGGGGTTTCTATGGGATTTCTATGGGGTCTGTGTGGGGTCTGTGTGGGGTTTCTATGGGGTTTCTATGGGGTTTCTATGGGGTCTCTATGTGGTCTGTGTGGGGTCCGTATGGGGTCGGTATGG